AAAACAAAGCAGATTTGGAGGGGCTCAGGTGGGAGGCCCTGACTGATTTCCATGAAATGAGTCATATTTCTTTTTGATTTTTAAAATAATACCCGTTTCACAGGATAAACTGTCCACTCAGCTGGGATACTTCACTCAGTTCACTTTCTTTGAAGTGCTGTCTGTTCCACAGTGAGTGCGTTAGCAGTAATAAATGTCTGTAGGCAACTTCCCCCCCAAGCAGACAGAAAATTGAGCGATTTAGAAAGTGAAGCCATGTGCTGCTATGAACAGCAGCAAAACAGATTTTAGCCACCTGAGAAATACTGGTTTAAGTGCCTGCTAGAGTCAGAGCATTTTCAACACTTTGCCATCAGACAGGAAGAAGGCAAAGCCATGCGCTCCACTAGCTCCACTTCAAGCTTTTCATTTACTGTCCCCTTGATTGGTTAGTTCATCTATGATGCTGCTCCTTAACGAGTTATTCGCAGAAATCAACAAACTTGGTCGACTGCTGCATTTGTTCTACTTCAAAAAAAGTGTGGTTCTAATACTGGATCCTGGTTCCAAGCCATGTTGCGTTTCAGAGCAGAGAAGGATAGCTCTGAAGCTTTGACCTTTCTGTTTGTGGAAAGGAGAAAAATTTGCTTAAGAGACTCAGTCGTTTTGTATCTACTTATTTCCTTGCTTCCTTTCTGTCACTGGCTCCTTTCTCTTTTGGCGTGCAAGATAAAACAACAAATTAAATGCAAAATATATGATTAAGTACACTGACTTAAACAAAATCTTTGTTTGAGGCTGTTTAAACAGCTTGCAAGATAAACTGAGGTCATCACAAATATTTGAAGTATTTAAATGGTGTCATCATTAAATTAGATTAGGTGATTATATTAAATCCCAGTGATCCTCGTGGGGAAAATGAGCTGTGGCAGCAGAGGAGCGCTGAGTTAAAAAATGAGAACAGATCAGATGGAGAATACTGAGGAAAATTACAACAAAGGAGCAACAAATGGGAAGGATGCAACTGATGAATAAAGATAAATTACAGTTCTGGGGGAAGACCAAGGCAGAAAACAGAAAACTACTTTTCTCATTTCTCTGAGCCGTTGCCTAAAATACCCAGAACGTGCTTCATTTTCATGTCTTTCAAACAACTGTTGGAATTATTTACCGTGCATGTTGCAGAGCACATGACATCTACCACAGAGGCCAATGAAAGATTAATGCTGAGTAGCCACTGCAGTGATGTCGTGTATGTGAGCTTTTCTTATTTTACAAAAGGGAGAAGGACGGGAACAACTTTACACCCCTTGGTTACAATCCCGCTGGAGAATACTTCAGTCAACACTAATATAACCAAAGTATAAATATATTGTATACACTTCTGTAAAGCATCTTGGTTGCCTAGTTGTGCAGTTGCTATTTTTCAACTGATTCTTCACATTAATGTAGTGCTTCCATCAACTGATCCTTTTTGCTTTTAGCCAGAAACTCATTCTGGACGATACAAATTGGTGTAAGCAGAACTCACAGCAGATGTTGTTGTAACCACAAACTGTACATAAAAGATGGACGTAGCAACCGTGCTCTCACTCAGTCGTTTCTGAACTCTAGTTTTTTGTTTTTATATTCAGTTAATGTGTTTTAGCTACAGTTTTCAGTTTGTAGGTTTTCCTTTCAGACACAGTTTATATTCATTTTTAATCCGTGTCTCTGTGTTTGATAAGATACAGGAACCAAAGCAAGTGGGTTTAGGCTCAGAAACTGCTTTGTTGAGGTTCGCATGTGCATATTGTGGTTTGGGGTTAAATGCACTAGAAACATGGTATGGATCTGTTCTGGTTGGACTCCAAATGTAAGTAGTTATCGTGAATTTCTGTGTATGTAGATGTCAACGCTTGCAGCTGATAGCAACAGATCCCACATTTATCACTGACTGATAGCATGTGATTGCAATTTTGACCTCATTGAATTGCACACTGATAGCAGAGTTACTGTCTAATTGCTGTATGGCTGTCAGTTGCCTTATGTTAAGCAGAGCTTCTATACTACTTACTATCAACTTACTACATTATGTTTTCTATATTGCCTTTTCTTCACTATTCATTAACTATTAGACACAGCCAGTTAAAATAACATTGGCTCATTTTTCATTGAACTTATTGTCTTTTAACTGAGACACCAATGCTTCATACCCAGTTATCAGATAACTCCAACTTCAGCTCCAAGGCAAATGTAAAACAAACCAACCACCAACAGGCATTACCTCCAAAAACAATGAAACTTTAAAGGATGCAGATAAATTAAACAACAACTGAGTATTTCTCCTTCTCCCACGTCGCACAGCAGTTTCCACTAGATGTTCATATTAAACTCTCTCTCTGAGACCACTTTCTAAAATTCCCCTATCTTTCAAGAAATTATGCAGGCTCCTAAAACACTAATGGTTGCATAACAGGATGTCAAGACTCCACTCTCCCTCTCTCCAGACCCCGAGGCCGGTGAGCACAAAACCTGCCTTGGGTCTTCTTCCCCATCTCTGTCTTTGGGGCTCACTTGTGCAGAACAATAGCAGAGCAGCTAGTTAAGGTGAGGGAGAGCAAAAAAATTAAAAAAATTTAAAAAAAATCCAACACCACTCCTTTGTCCTCCGTCTGTTCCCATCTCAGAGGGATTTTCTTAAACATGTTTTTTTTTTCAACACTCTCTTTCCCTGTGGTTATTTCCCTTAGTGAAAATGGGTCACCTTTCTTTTTGTCAGGAGAATGCTTGGGTAAGTATAACCTCTGCATTTGTGTGTGTTGTGTGTGTTGTGTGATGTGTGTGTGTGTGTGTGTGTGTGTGTGTGTGTGCGTGTGCGTGTGTGTGTGTGTGTATTCAAGGTTTTTTATGATCGAAGAATGGTTCCAAGCCCTGGAAAAGTCATGCAAGGACCATTTTCTGGGTCTCATTAGGGGGGAAGGTATATTTCTTCAGGGACTTCCAGTGTAGCATGAAGATATCCAGTCTTTTATTTTTTTTTTTTTGTTCCATTTGCTGGTTATTGTTTATCAAACAGGTTAATTCAGGTAAATTCTAAAAATAATAATAAAACAAAATTAATAAAGAAATAATGAAGTCAATTATCAGATAAACTGATTCATTTAGACAAACCCCTCATGTGTCCCCCACACTGCTAGCAACCAAAGTCTGTTTGACAACTGACTACAAGTGATCAAACCACCTGATTATAAGTAGTCTGTAAACAAATGTTATTACAGTTATTACAGTTACTTATAATTATAAGTAACTTACTTATAATTGCATCTTTCAGCTGGTCTCTATTATTATGAATAATGATATTGATGTAGCATTAGCTTGCAAAGTCACCTAGCAAAACAGCTAGCTTGGTTTAGCTTTAAGTAAATGCTAATGTGCCAGTTCCTCTGACACTTGAGGCAGTCTCCAAAGCGTTCAATTTCCATATTAAAATGTCCAATTTCAGCCAACGATATAATATGTTTGTAGTTGGGTTTTTTTTTTATATTAAAGTGCTAAACCTAAAATAAACTAAGTTAAAGTAAGTGAACTGGACCTCTTCACCATATTTGTGGTGTTTGACAAGAGATATCTGGCAATGAATATCGCCTGCTGCATGTTACAGCTCATCCAATAATTTTGTGGTCCTATTTTTTTTTCTTCTAGTATTTATTGGTCTGTTACTAATTAGCAGGCATCCATCTGTGCATTGCACCCATACTGTCTGTGGACATGGCTCACTTACCAAGTTTGCTTGTGGTTGTGGACAAGTTCTCATCCACATATTGTCAATCCTGACACCAAAAAGACAACATGCTAATGTTGAAGCTTCAAAATGAGTCCAGCGATCAATAGATAGTATCAATGAGGCTACATTCAACTTATCTATACATGCAAACATGAGGTAACAAACCTATTAACTAACTTTACTTAATATTATGTAATTTCTAGGCCAGGATGACTGTAAAGTAAGAACTGTCTTATGCTCAGTGCAGCTTGTGTTTGACAAAGTGAGAAGCTGCTAGAATTAAGGACAAACTGCTGTTCACATACTGTATGTGTGGCAGCACAGGGGGATGATTTATGTATGTGCGCTCTTTCCAGGCTTGTTTTTGCATTGTTGCTCCTGACAGAAACCCTTTACCTCCCCTCCTCATTTCTGGCAGTATGTGCGCAGGCAGCATTGGATGGACTTTGAAGTGAGCGCACCGATGCACTTCAAACAAGATCTCACACACTTTGCCATTTTGCCAAGAGGACGAAAAAACAGCTGGAAAAAAAAAGAAAAGCTTTTCTCTGCATCCTGATAGAGTGCACTCGGATCACCTGTTATTCCAAATCTGTGGCTCTGCTGCTTCTGTCTTCACATCAATACGAAACCTCAGCGGGAGCGTCGTTTGTGCTTTTTCAAAAAATGGTGGCATACAAGTGCTGCTGTGACCGAGAGCAGGAAACTGTTTAATGTACAGATCTTTACAAGCGCTGCACAGATTCAGACGTCTCCACCTCTGCCTCGCTGACTGTGAGCAAAGCTGGTTATTTAGAAAAGTTGTGTGTATGGAGGGAGATTCATGTTTCACTGAAGTAATACACTGCTATCAGTCCACTATAATGGTAACTGGCACATAGATCAGCAGAACTGTGTTAATTATGCCTTAAAGAGTAGTCACTACATTCACATCTGGCAATCTGCAGACGCTAGAGAAAATATGTATTCCCCAACTAGTTGGGGAAGTGGTTGCTGGAAGACCAATTTTACCCGGTGACTGCCAGCAACCACTCGCAAACTTGTAATGGAGATTTTTCCCTAAAGCAGTCTCCAACCACTCTGTACTCCTGTGTGACTGAGGCCTAAGCTATCACAAGTCACTCAGTAATTTAAGAAAAGCGATTGCAATTACAGATGACCTTGATAAGCCTGTAAACTTTGGGCATATATCTGTATTATCTCTATCGGAGCAAACAAACATGAAATGACCGTAAAGTGTGTTTGCTATTCATACCGAAGTGTAGAGGTAGCCCTCGCTGTTCATGGCAACGTAGAGCCCTGTCTTGGTGCTCTGGATGGCCACTATCCTGAGCCCCACAGGAATCAAGTTGAACTGCACTGCAAGACACAGAGAGGGAGGAGTCATGTTAGAGCAATCATTCTGTCTCTTAAACGCTCACAGTGCTTTCTCATGGCATAAAAAGACAATCGCTTTCCAGCTGTCTCCTGTTTCACACTCCCTGTTGTACAGTTTATCTGTCAAAGGTGAGAAAAGCAAGTTTGTGAAAAAGGCAAAGAGAGAGGGCGGAAAGGATTTGGAGACAGAAATTTTGTGTTTACCTTTCTTGGGGTGAGAGTAAGAATGCGATACGTTTAATGCTTGATATCGAGATACATTTGAGTGCCTTGTTTAGGACAGAGACCTGGCAAATTCCTTTGCTTTCTTTTATCTGTTCTTGAATACACCAGGTGTACATCAGAAAAACAGAACATTGCCCTACATGCCATAGGAATACTTTAATTTGCAATACACGAATCTATTATTGAACGTGGCAGTTACAATGAAGTAAATTCAGAAAAGGAAAACATGCAGCTGTGAATTTTTTTTTAATCAATGACATTTCTGACAGTCATAATGATATTTTCACAGAGAACGTGTGCGTGAACCCTGAACATTTTATTAGAAAAATCAGCATTAGCTCATTTTAATCAAAGCTCTGTAATCTTGCATCCCAAGGTGTGCCACACATTTTAAAGGCTGTATATAGCTTGAAAGTGAACCGGATTATTAAGTAATGCAGGTCATAGCTTAGGCTAAAAATGAGAGGAATGCAATCCCCCAAAAACTCATTAAGGGCATAAAGAATTTTCCATAGTTTGACATTTATAGTCTTTTAGTGAAGAGGTTAAGTGTGGTGGTGGTCGCCGGGCAGGCCTTTGGATTCTCCCTAAAATCTAGATTCATGCCACAGAGAGATAGAGACACAGCGAGAAGGAGAGAGAGAAGGTAGCTCAGCAGAGAGTTTTAAGAATAGCGTGCATTAGAAAGTGAATTCATTTTCTGCATCCCGACACACTAAACAGCACTTTGTAATGCAGTTTGCTGAATGTCCTCCTGTGAAACCTTGGATCTCCTACGTGCATAGCTCTGCATATGAGCTAACTTCAACCTGGACACCAGAACAACAGTCACTGTTTCCTTCTCATTTTTGTTCCTGTAGATGCACAAGCTTTTCTGTGTATGAATGTAGATCGTGTCTGAGTGTCTAAAAAAGTTTCTTATATGATGTGGCATGGTAAGCTGAACGGTACTGACAAAGCAGCCTGTGGCTGCCAGCTGCTCTGTGGTCACAGTGTCATGATGACCAAATGCTACTGAGATGATTAAAGCCCCTGAAGCACATGGATTGAGCCAAAAAAAAACACGAGTTTTGAAAGATCAAACAAAACAATATAACTATGAAAAACACTTAAGCTCATAAAATCTACCAGATAAGTGGTGACCCATCTAGGATTAGGAGAAATTCAACAATATTTTTTAGTCAACAATGTCAGATACGACTACTCTGCTTCATTTCTGAGTTTTGCTAGAAAAAGAAATTATGCTACAGTAAAAATGACATTTTAATAGAACAGCTAGTAATATTACCATCACCCACCGACAGGAAACCAAAGGTTTTGTTGGTATAATCTACCAAAAGGATACAGGTTGTATACATATTAACATCTCCTGTCTGCATCAATTACTGCTCACTCAGTTAAAGCCCATTTGGCCGTAAGAGTGTTTAGGCTGGTATTCTGGAAGCAACAACTTCTGAAGGCTCCCTTTGAAATCTGTCAGAAATTATGCTAATTGTGAACTCTCTGTGTGTGTCTGTTTATGTGAGTGTCCTTGTGTCTTCTTTCCTTTTTCTGTTTCCATGTTCTCCTCCTTATGTTTAATTCCATGCCTCCCCTGCCTGTCATGTTTATCCCATGTTTCCGTCATATCATGCCTCTCCTCTCGCTCTCTCGTGCTGTCTCGAATCATTGCTCTCTCGCTCTCTCTCTATGTGTTGTCTCCGTTAACTGTTCCTGCGTCCCCTTCGTTATGTCCTCCCGTTGCCTCCTTAATCCATCTAGCTTCCCTGACTGTTCTTTCCTCTCAGCAAAAAATGTCATGTTGTGAGTTAGTCTACGTCTTAGTGTTTCCTGTTTTATTCTGACAGTCTTGCGTTCCATGTTCGGTGTGTTTAGTTTTGCTTCTGCTGTCTCATTGTGTTTCCTGTTCCCTCGTCATTCCTCTTGTATTTAAGCCCCTGTTTCCGTCTGTCCAGTGTCGCTTTCTCCCTCATTCCCTGCTGTTGTTCTGCCTGCCTGCTTAGTTCATGTGTATCCCAGTTTTTGTTTGTTCTTTTGGAGTCCAGCAATAAAGCTGTCGAGTCAAGTTCTGCCTGCCGCACACAACAAAACACGACCTCAGACGTTGTATAAAGATTGGAGAAATAGTACAGAACATTTTAATAACTGGGTTTTAGAGACTGGACTCATGCACCTACCAGCGTATTGTGTCTCACTTTTCTAGTTCTTACGCTAAGGAGAGGTGCTCATATTTTGTGTTTTAGAGTATCAGCTTCTACTTGCTGTTGTCTTGTGAAGCATTCCACCATCACATAGTTACCAGCAACTACTCATTTCTTTACACAATGTCTGTTACAATCAAGTTGATTTTGACTTTGGCCAAATTCCCATACTGCCATTAGTCCTAAAGGCCAAAGCAGACAACACTGCTAAGCTTTTCGTTTAAACTCTGGTCGAGAATATAAAAACTGAAGCATAATTGGGATGCAGTATGTGTGAGTGATTTCGTCTTCTTTTGGCAAATTGCAAGAGTGCATTATAAAGTCAGAGCCCAGTTGTCAAAGTGACAGATTTCTTACACGGATGAAAAATGAAGTCTAAGGAGCATGTTTTAGATTCATGAAGCCATTAGCCACTAATAGACAAATCAATTTCAAATCAAAAGTTCTGCCAACATAATGGATGGAAGTTAAGTTATCAGATGGTGTCAGAAAGTCAATGCTGGCCGTGATTAAAAACTAACAACTTGTCAGTATTATTTCTGATGAAGATTAAGCTCTGACCTCTTAAGAGTTAAGATTTTCTTTCTAGCACGGCAACTTGGAAAACAAAACACATTCCTTCTTTTTCGAGCAGCATATATGCTCTTTAACTTTTTGTTGAGGAAAACTTAAAAACTTAGATTATATTCCAACTTTCCACAGAACAGTCACTGTAACGTACAGTTTTTACCACCTGCACTGAATATAAAGACAGCCCAACCTACTCTTTTTCTCTCTCTCTCTCTCTCTTTCCTTTCTCCATCTTCAGCACGTTGCTTCTATTTGCTCAATCGATTCCTGCATTTCAAAGAGTTGGTTTCGCAAATGAACAAGGTGTCACCAATGAGCATGGCTGGGATGACAAATAGAGCTGGGCACGTGCACACACATTGCCTCCCACCTTCTTGTCACCCTCCTACTCCTGCTTCTCACTTCCTAACAGTGCTAGGTGCACTGTTGTGGCGATAACTGCATGTTATCTATACACACAGGAAGAAAACCACCACAACACATGCAGGTGGACTACACTGTCCAAGATAATAAGGACAGAAATGAGCCGTAGTCCCTGCATGACAGTTTTACATTTTACAAACATAAAGATACAAAACGTTTATAGTTAGCATTTGTAGCTAGCACACAACCTACAGAAATAACTAGATGTTCTGTAAAAAATACAGGATATTTTGAAGGGTTATAGCTGTGACAATATAAAAGTCATCAGTCTATGTCAACAGCTACAGCATAAGAGTTTTTGAGTAATGTTAGCCTGTTTTGTTGGATTTGGAGATTAACGTCATGTAGCTAAGCAGCAAAAGTGTGATAGAAGTGTCAGTTCACATTGCTGACAATATTTTTTGTCAACAAAGATGCTGTTACCATGATGCTTGTATCTTTCTCTAGCAAGATATCGTGTATATAATTATTAAGTGTTCTTTGAGTAACATTCATGATCTATGTTTTAATGGTAGTCAGGTGGGAAAAAATTTAAAAGACAAAAATATTTATAATATTTTATAAGTGATAAAATCGATATATGAGATTGCAATTTCTGCTCACTCCCAGAATTATGAATCTAAAAAGTCAGACATTACTTCCTGTTACTTCAAAAGCTGCCTCTATGAAACACGAGATATCCTTTGGTAGCAGTCCAGCGGCTGCTTTGCACTTGCCTTGTTTTTGCTGATTCTTTTAATACTTTGACATCCTGGGAATAAGACAGGCTCAAAATTGATAGTAGCCATTAAAAATAATATTCTGCCCTCAACAAAATAACAAAGACATTTGTGTGTGCATGTCCCTGATATCATTATAAGCTGTATTTGGAGAACACCAGTAGAAGGTCAAAACAATCAGGCTTTAGCTTTTGCTTCATTCCTTCTCTCACTCTCTTTTTTCCTGCTTTCACACTTCAGATTGTTTATTTCCTTCTTATCCTCCATCAAAAAGAGCTTTGCTAATCGCATGTATAACATAACTGTTTGCATGGATAGCGCAGGCATCCCATTTCATCCCTCTTCCTCTCCGTCGTTACATTTGAGTCGCTTCTAGCAGAACAGAGGACACTGCTAGATTAATCAAAAGTCTTTTGGGGGAGGGGAAAGAAGAAGAGGGGAAGGGAAATGAAGGGGAGGCCGTTGCCAAATCAATCCCACAGTCAATTTGAGGCTTGAGATCATCTACACAATAAATAAACAAGGAGAAAGTAGAGATGGGAAGAGGAAAGGGAGGGGCGGCTCAGCACTGGGAAGCAGGAGCAGGACATAGAGTTAAGCTGTAAGGAGGGCCTCTGCAGGCCTGCACTCTGCGCTGCTGCTCTGCAGTGTTGCATTGTGCAGCACAGTTGGTCTCTACAGGAATGAGAAGAGGATTACAGTCATCTGTGAGAAGTCACACAGAGTTTAACTTATGGACAGCTGCGCTTTATTTAGTTTCCAGTCTCAGTGAAGCTGGTTGGATAAGAGCACTGTCACGAGATGCTGATGCATCTAAAACTGACTCATTCCAAGGTTATGTCTA